CGTGTGTGTGTTTACAATATTTGGAAACTTGACATAAAATACCTGCCCTTGAGAAGATATCGTCATTTTACTGAGACTTCAATACTGAATCTGGCTAAGAACTGGCTACAGGATATGTGTGGCGCCGTGGAGTCTTATGACCTGTAAACAAGAAATAATCAATGCAGCTGATTCTCCTAGTATATGACCTTTACATTGCTTACCAAGCTTTGAGAAGACTGAATGCCAAGCTCTACCCACATGTGAATGAAGTCTACTCATCTGGTGGCAAGAACGTCACAGACTCTGATTGGGCACAAGCATGCTAGCCTGAGTATTTAACAGTTGTATCAGATTGATCCCCCAACGGTTAGCAGATTGCAATCTACACAGCATTCCAGGTAAGGTGCACGTTCTCATGCTGCTGAGACGTATCAGAGACCACCTGCTAAGGCACCAGAAACGGGAACAATCCAATTCACTCCTGCCAAACCCATGCAGTCTCCATCGACCTAAACTGCATCAGGAATCAGCGTAGGAGATCCTTATACTCAGAGATATTCTGTCAGATTATTGGCCTAGTAGCAAGCCCTTATTCTGGCAGTGAAAGCTTGGTGAACGGGGCTTGGAGAGGTTCAAACCTAAGAACTAAAATGTGCGAAAAGGAGTGCAACAATATTTTTCAGTACTTATATGAATAGACTGAATACTTGGTTGAATTATTAAAAAGTGCAAAACAACACAACCGATGATGTTTTCCTGTCTGAATCTCCAGAGTCATTTAGCAATGAGACAAAACAACCATATTCAGAGACTCTTCAAACCCTATGGAGAACTTGACCAGCATCTCGCCCCCGTCAGCCAATCACCATCGAACTGTCTCGCATCGCAGCCAATCAGAGCCGTGGTGCTGGCGGACCTCCATCGGGAAATGTGTTCGAAACGTCTCTGAGTTTAAGCGAAAGCTCTTTGACACAAGTCTCCTGAACCAAGACCACGGGCCGGGACTTTGGGGGTCTATCAAAAGAAGCTGTTTACCCGAACTTCAAGCATTGCACATTACACAGGGATGTTAGATCAGGAAGACGGATAGGCCTAGCAGTAGGAGTCATAAACTCTCGACAAGAGGATTTGATGGCCCCATTCCCCGTGCAGAAAAAAAACAAGCTTTGTATCTTTAATGCTCTGATATTCCCATTTTTTTAGTAAATCATTGAAACCTGGGTTCAATCCTGTCTTCAGGCTTTTAGCAAGGATCATGGGGTATACTTGTATTTGGCAGGACTGCGTGTCCACAAACGCCACACACACACACACACACACACACACACACACACACACACACACACACACACACACACACACATACATACATACGCACCACACATATACACACACATAGCATACACATACACACATACACATACATACACACACACACACACACACACACACACACACACACACACACACACACACACACACACACACACACACACACACACACACACACACACACACACACACACACACACACAATGTGTGTTGTGTGTGTGTGTGTGTGTGTGTGTGTGTGTGTGTGTGTGGTGTGTGTGTGTGTGTGTGTGTGTGTGTGTGTGTGTGTGTGTGTGTGTGTGTGTGTGTGTGTGTGTGTGTGTGTGTGTGTGTGTGTGTGTGTGTGTGTGTGTATATATATATATATATATATATATATATATATATATATATATATATATATATATATACATACACATATACATGTATGAGAGAGAGAGACTGAAGTGTACTCATATTTTCCCATATATTACAAAGATTCACCTATACGAAATAGTTTGAGGTATCCACACATTTTCAGGTGTTATTTACTCCTATATACTATTAGGTGTACTGGCGTTTAGCAACTTCTAGTGCTTCAGGAAGTTTAGTGGTCAGCAAAATAATTTCCTGTTGTTCTGTCAATTAGATTTATCCTTATCCATATATTTATAATAATGGTACATGTAAGACATTTTTTATGCGAGAGAAAAGTAGGTAAAAATAAACTAGAGATAAGATTTTATTTCTGTAATCATGACTGTACAAAATGTGAGGACCCACTAGTTTAATTGATGTATTTCGGGAACCTGATAATTATATCTAAAACTGTTATGACGGTGGTAATGGTTGAATGGTAATAATTAAATGATGATGTATCAATAAAATAGAATAATGGCGTGACGCTGTTATATACATTTTGAGTACACGGCAGTTAACCAAAAAACAAAAAAGTGTGAATGGAGAAAGACCAGTCAAACTAAACAACCCTGGAAAATAAGGTAAGCTACAGTATGTGAAATTAAGATAAAATAAAGACCCATTCACCAAGCTTTCACTGCTAGAATAAGGGCTTGCTACTAGGCCAATAATCTGACAGAATATCTCTGAGTATAAGGATCTCCTACGCTGATTCCTGATGCAGTTTAGGTCGATGGAGACTGCATGGGTTTGGCAGGAGTGAATTGGATTGTTCCCGTTTCTGGTGCCTTAGCAGGTGGTCTCTGATACGTCTCAGCAGCATGAGAACGTGCACCTTACCTGGAATGCTGTGTAGATTGCAATCTGCTAACCGTTGGGGGATCAATCTGATACAACTGTTAAATACTCAGGCTAGCATGCTTGTGCCCAATCAGAGTCTGTGACGTTCTTGCCACCAGATGAGTAGACTTCATTCACATGTGGGTAGAGCTTGGCATTCAGTCTTCTCAAAGCTTGGTAAGCAATGTAAAGGTCATATACTAGGAGAATCAGCTGCATTGATTATTTCTTGTTTACAGGTCATAAGACTCCACGGCGCCACACATATCCTGTAGCCAGTTCTTAGCCAGATTCAGTATTGAAGTCTCAGTAAAATGACGATATCTTCTCAAGGGCAGGTATTTTATGTCAAGTTTCCAAATATTGTAAACACACACACGTGTTGTGTTTGGTTATTTATGAGTGTGTGTGTGTTTATGTAGATGTATATATGTATACATATGTATATATGCATATGTGTGTTTCTGTATGTAGATGTATATATGTATATATGCGTGCACGCGTGCGAGCAGAGCCATGGCCATCAACACTTGAGAGAGAAACCGCTCCTCCTGGTACTGCTGGGTTCCGGGAGCTGGAATGGAGAAAATTTCCATCACTAGGGAACAAGAGACAAAGGAATTTAGAGTACACCAACAAGAGCTGACAACAAAATGACAGCAGCTGGAATGGGATAGAGAAATTACATATGCTCTGTTGGCAAGCGGAAGGAGGGATTGTGACTCCTCCTTGTAATACTGGTCACAGCTTGCATCAAAATTCTATGTATCTCCAGTTACACATCAGTGATAAGAGCTAAAAATATAAAATTGTATGAAGCTTTTACACAGCAGCAGTTCTTGACCATTTTAATCCTATCACCTCCTGTGACTCTTTAGGGTATTACTGTAACCCCTGCAATAGATTTTGAGGAAGTTTTCTTACTGTAAATGCAAGACGAAACAAAACAACATATAGAACTACACTTACTGAAAATGCCACAAAACAAACTTTAAAAATTCCCCTGAACCTCTAAAGATGCCAAAAATCTGCAAAATCAATAGAATCCTTTGTGATCTCCCCAAAAACCTATATGATCCCTAGGTTAATCCCTACAATCTGGATGACATGACCATCACATGAAAAAATTTGGCTCCGAGGGCTGGGTGACATGAACATGCCGCCACAGGAAAATTTGGGTGTGGGCCAAGGTGACCAGAACTTGCTGTTGTGAGCATTTCCGTGAGCCATGGCTGGATAAGAGATGACTCCGTGGAGGAGGGAATTTCCATGCTCAGGGTCCTATTCCTGGCAACTGTGACCAGCAGCACTGGTTGTATTACAGAAAACTTTAGGGAAGGGGTTATGGACTATCTAGAGAGATATGGAGGCTTTGCAAGGAAAACAGTCTATTACTATCTGGATAAAGCAAATTAAATGGCAAATATGGACATAGGAAAATGGAGAGAGAGAAAAAAAACTTATGCAGAAATAGAAAAAATGACATTGTTCACGTGTGCCCAGCTTACAAGCTGCACATCCGTCAGAATGGCAGCTCAAGTAAGCCTAAGCCAGTTAAGAACCACTGTTCTTTATGATAATAACTAGCTGAAATATCAAAGTATTTAAATCTAACCACTAATTGATTTCCACTAAAGTGACAGTTCTTGGAGTTACCATCAAGCACACACGGAGGAAAACCTGTGAAGCTTACAGACTTCAAAAAACAGGGAGGATGCTTGGCATAGCGTAACTATACTTTTTCTGAATAAGGGAATGGAGACAGGAAAAAGAGTATATTCTGTGGTATCTTGCAACCATTGCCATCACTGTCATTTTTGTATTATTCTCAAGATTCCTAGAATTTTCCTTTAGATTTTCACTTTTAAATACATTATAACTTAGCTTTCTTTGATCAAGTTTCACAGTTATCATTAAATTACAACAGTAAGAAAAAATTGGATCCCTGTAGATACTGCAAATTCATGGAAGAATCATTCTCACATTAAGCAAAAAGTAGACATAAGGCAAAAATTTTATGTTATTAAACAGGATGTATAATCTTTGATACATCTTTAATATATAAACATATAAATAAATATATTCCTATGTATATCTACATATGTAAATAATAAATAAATAAATAAATGAATAAATAAATAAATAAATGAATAGATAAATAAATAAATAAATAAATATATATATATATATATATATATATATATATATATATATATATATATATATATATATGGGCTCCTATACTATTTCCAATAATACATGAGTGGAATGTATCATCCATGAGCCACGAGTAGAAGAGTGCCTGCTCCATGGAGGACTGTATTACAGAAATTGAATATTACAATAATGTAAGTAACAAAATGTTACTTTTTGTTATATTTACTGCACAGAGTTATAGACCAATCCGTGAGATTATGTGAAATATGTGCAAGGAAAACAGTCTATAACCACTTTGATACATCAAGTCAAACATCAAATATACATCTTCGAATATGGTAGAGAAGCAAAAAATGTTTATGCAGGAAAAGAGACAATAATATTGCAAAGGTGAGGCAAGGAGTCTTGACACTGCACACAATCAAGTAGGCCTAATGGCTGAATTTTTGACAAAATGGGCAGTGAAGCACCCGGATCTAATGAGTTACTAAACAAAAAAACAAAACTATATCATTCTTGAACAAAAAGACTTGGCAATCAACTTTAGCTGGAATTATCCATGTAATAATACTGCAATAAACATCAATGATGACACTAAGCAGGACAAATGGCAGAAAAAAGCTTGCATGGCAACAACATGACTCACTCAATCTCTAATTGATCCAACTCTACAAAAACACAGTATGAAAAGTTGTAACAGCAGCACTAACAACATGGCATAAACAGCAACAAGGCATGAAGCCACAAAAAGAAGGCTTCTTGGACAGAATAATCTCTATCATGAGGATACTGAGAGAAAGTCCAAAGACAGACAAAATAAATGGGCTCTGTAAAATACCTTCCTGGTCAGCCAAAGAAGAGATTCCAATAGAAGAAGAAGGCCATAATGAGCAAAATATATCGTAGAAGCTGCGGCAAATCCCTCTCCATTTCTGCAACAGCAATGCAATGAGTCAGTAATATTCCTTTGGGAGGGAGCAATTATATCATCATAAAGGACACAGGAGGATCTCTATTGTATTAGTTAAGCAAGGAAAGAACTAAAGAAAAGTAGAATAGTAGCTCTAGAACTTCACTTATTAGAAGAGAAATTCAAAATCCACGGTAGTTGTTGGTTTATTATTACTTTAACAAGTTGAAGGTTGCAAAATGATTATCAAATTTACTATATCAAATATGTAGAAGGAAGAAAACAGGAAGCCATACTAAAACTCTGATGGCTCTAGTGACAATTACAACGAAGATGAACCTCTTCGTAAACTGACTCATTACATTGCATGTTGACTTATGGAAACATATTTCAGGAATAAAAATCACAATAACAATTGTGGCTAAATCACAAAGTGTGCATCATGTCAGTCTCAGTGAGGTGTTAGAGTGGTCCAACTAACCTCCGATGGGATTTTTACGCAGCTGGAACCGACTTGGGTTTGGTTGTTATGTAATTTACTTTAGAATTACATTAGGTTATGATTTTTTTAGAATAACACAATTGTTTGAACTGAAATACTAGCCCATTACTCAGAACACTTTGTAGAGATGACTTTCAATGAATGCAGTAGTAACTTAGACTTATGGTAAGAAATTCATGTTTTTGTATCTGAGGGCTTCTGTGGCCTACTTATGCTGAAAGTACACATCTATATTATATTTTGATGACAGCAAAAAGAAAAGTAGTCCCTCAAAAGGACCTCCAGAATTTAAATCAGTCTACATAACACATACTACACAAATTTGTATTGTACACAAGGAAAATGACCAGAAAATAAATTGAATAGTTGCTTTTTATTTTCCAATATTTCTATTTTTCACGTGACCATCTTGTCAATGGCACACTGGAATCTTATTTTCTTCTTTCTCTCTTTCTTTCTTTCTCTTTCTCTCTCACACACATTCATCATTGTTCCAGTCTATATTAAAGGGGCTACAATCATATTCAGTGATTCAATTTGTTTTCATCTACATATCTAGTCTTTTATTCATTTATAATCTGCTGTCTTTCTGAATGGGAAGAATAATCATCTTAACCATAAGCAAAAGAGTAATTTTTATCTATACCAGAGAAAAAGAGTGCAAAATACAGGAGAGTTAGCTAAAGTGGAGAAAATATATATATATATTGGCAGAATAATTATGTACACCTACACCTACATGAACTTACCATGCTTCACTTCCCTTACACTTGAAATGAAACAACTTACACAAACACAATTCAAAGTGGATTTGATCAACCAAACCAATAATCCCGTCCTACTCACCTGGTGGAACTGCACCTCCGCCCCAGTTGTTGAACGTCGTGAAAATGCCGAAGGGAAAAGCGCCGATCCCAAAGTGGAACTGGAATCCTCTTCCTCCGCCAAAACCAAAGCCTGGCATGTACCCATTCTGTGGCTCTGGTTCTGTTCTCTGACCAGGGGGGCGAGGGGGAAGCTTGTCTCTGTAAGATATGGAGAGAATGAGAAAGCGGGCAAAATGTGAGAGTAATAAGGACAGATAGGCTTAAAAAAGCAGAGGTATAAGACAGAAGGAGGGAGGGAAAGGGAGAGGGATGGGATAGGGGTGGGCAGGGGAAGAGAGAGAGGGAGAGAGAGAAGAGAGAGAGAGAGAGAGAGAGAGAGAGAGAGAGAGAGAGAGAGAGAGAGAGAGAGAGAGAGAGAGAGAGAGAGAGAGAGAGAGAGAGAGAGAGAGAGAGAGAGAGAGAGAGAGAGAGAGAGAGAGAGAGAGAGAAGGAGAGGGAGGGAGAGGGATGGGATAGAGAGAGAGAGAGGGAGAGAGAGAGAAGAGAGAGAGAGAGAGAGAGAGAGAGAGAGAGAGAGAGAGAGAGAGAGAGAGAGAGAGAAGAGAGAGAGAGAGAGAGAGAGAGAGAGAGAGAGAGAGAGAGAGAGAGAGAGAGAGAGAGAGAGAGAATGTGGGGGAAGGAACTATAGGTGGTATTCTTTACCTGGGGTCCTGTTGGTTTCCAGAGCCTCTGCCATACAATGGGATTACCTTCTCACGCGAGATTGCCGCATTGCAAACTGGACATGTTTGGTTGTTTGGCCTGGTCTCAAGCCACTGGTGTAAACATGGCCAGCTGGAATGAGGAAATGAACTTGAATTATGTCTTTAACTTAAACTGTGTTTGCTTTTTAATTCCTTTTATTTACATTTGATCGCTGAGACACTCCATCTTTAGTTCTAATTATGATTTTAACCCTTTGTACATGGGTACATGATCAAAGGGTGACATAAGCAGGACTACCTATTGACTTGGTGACTGAGTACTTGAGGAGCCATTCATGTTTAAATAAAACTAATAAGCTGAAATCATGGTAGCCATGGCATACCTGTCATGCTATCCCAGCAAAATGGGTTTAAAAACATGTTACCTTCACAAGCAAATTTAGATATCTCTACCTGTACATTCATAATACAAATAATGATCAAATAATTAACATATATACCTGAGGAGAAATTATTCAGATGAAGTTGATATCCAATAATACACGAAAGTGACGATGTATTCCAATTCTAAAAGTCTAAAATTATGCCTAACCATGTTTTAATTTGATGTTCTATCACAATCTAATAATATATGCATCATTTAATAAAATAAACAAAAGAGTAATCATGAGCACATCAATGATCGTTTCTTTCAAGAAATTAATTCTGAGGCAGGGATAATATTTAGTCCATATCATAAAAATTATATTTACAAAGTGCACTTCTTCACAGCCGTCAGAAAGAAGTAATAGTCTCTCCAGTTCCATAGTATGTCCAATTCAGGTAAAAGAAAAACAGGCAACTCACAATGACCCCTAAATACTCTGATCCCCCCCATCATCTATCTGTTATTGTTTGTGCTTACAGAAGTTTGGGTTCTAAAAATTTATGTACAATATTTGTATTATCTCTTGTTGAAATTTGCTGCCTTCAGCACCACATTATTATTTTTTTTTTTTCTCAAAAGCAACTTGGCAAACTGGAGGACTCCGGAGCTTAGGGTGAGATGCCATTTTTCTCTTTCCTAATATTGGATGAAGTATAATCAATAATCATAATAATAATAATAATAATTATATAATGATGATAATAATAATAATAATAATATAATGATAATATAATAATAATGATAATACTACTATATAATAATAAAATAATAATAATAATTATAAAATCTTATGAAAGACAATTCCCAAGACAAGAAACCCATACTTACCAGAAGAGATGGCCACACATGGAAATGACGGCATCCTTTGCTGCGTCGAGGCAAATGTTACACTCAAAATTGGAATTGTCTGTCGAATCTTCTCCACCTTTGTCTGATCCACCTGAGGCATTGTTGCTGCTCTCACTTCGGCTGTCACTTCCAGGCCCAGCTGTTGCCATTTTAGTGGCTGTGGCTTTTCAGGCTACTCACAAGCACACTTTCCTTTTCTTTTTTTGGGCATGTAGTTCCTGTAAAGAAAATAAGGAACGATAAATTTACCCTCTCACAATGGATACATCATCAGATTATTTAGATGGTTAACCTATTAACGGCGGTATATTTTGAAGCTGAAAATAAAAGATTCCGGGTGGCTACTCTGCCCGCATGCCCTCTGCGGCATGCTGCTGCATCGAAGCGTGAGCCCCGATACAGCGTCACACTGGTGGGATGACCGGCAATGTTTATTTTTTTCAGGTGTCTCATATGTGGGACACCTGTCGTTAGTGGGTTAAATGTGACCTTGGTAATAACACTGTTAAACCTTTCATGCCAATTTCTGGAGTTCTTGTGTATTCTATTCTTGCTGCAATGGTATAAGGACATGGATAATGTGGTATACTAATATGCAGGAGCAAATTTATATTTTCATTTGCTCTTGAAGTTGAAATATAAAACGAAATATGATGAAACTTAGGCTGTCTTAAAGAATTCACACCCACGGTCTTGAACATTACCTCTGAGCACTTTTTGGGACTGTCAGACAAAAGTACAGTTTCTAAACCTTTCAGATCTGTATACTGACAAAGGAGTAATATTTGTTTTGTAATTGTGAGCGTATATATGTGAAGGCATGTTCATATAGGCATATGAAAGACGGAATGTGCATGCATATGATAATTTTGTCACCAGGCACCAATCTAAATCCCAATATACATATATATTTTTTTTTTCCCTTTTTTCAAACAAGGATAAAAACAGAGAGGAGAGTGAGAGGAGAGAGAGAGAGAGAGAGAGAGAGAGAGAGAGAGAGAGAGAGAGAGAGAGAGAGAGAGAGAGAGAGAGAGAGAGAGAGAGAGAGAGAGAGAGAGAGAGAGGAGACCTTGCTGCTAGAGTGCCATAGAGAGACATAATTCACTCAATTATTTTCTGCCATATTGTGGAATGATGAATATGTTTTGAAAAGCAAAAACGTTTACATATTCATGTTTTCTATCAAAATTTGTCTAGATCTGGTTATCTAAAACAACCCAAACAGTTTCAAATTTTAGTATCCCGAGGTGTTTCCATAATTTCTGGGGTTAATAGGAAAAGGGTTGAACAAAACGTAAAATGTATTAACCCAAGTAGAAATCTACTTTGAAATGTTCCATCATCAAAGTTTCCTTCTTCATGTATAAAGGCAAACTAAAATATATGTTTAATGTTTAATGTTTGAAACAAATAAATGTACTAGACATCAAAGATCATATAGCACTATGGTAAAGTATTGTGTCGGAAATAAAGAGGAGCTAAAGGAAATGCGTTAGATGTCAAAGATTAAAGAGCGTTATAGAATAGTATGGTAGTGAAAAGGGAAAAAAAGGGGTGTAAGTGAACGAGAGAAGAGATTAGTAGAAGGGGGGGGTTAAGGGGCTAGGGTGATTGAGTGAATTACAGTGTATCTGTCACTGGGGAAGGTACAGGAACAATGTTCAAGGAAAAGAGATGGCTGTTGGAAGACTAGGAGAAGAATCCGGGGAGAGGGGGGGATGTCAGAAATTAGTGTTATAAGAAAGTATAATAGGAAAAAGGGAAAAGAGGGGAGTAAATGAGGTAGAGCAGGGATTAGTAAAATGGGAAAGGTTAAGGGGGTAGAGCAATTGAATGAATTGCATTGTATCTGTGACTGGGGAAGGAATAGGGACATTGTTCGAGGAAAACAGAGGTGGCTGTTGGAGAAGTAGGAAGAGAAGAATCCGGGATGAGAAAGGAGACTGGGGAAGGTGGTGAAGTATCTGGAAGAATGTCTGGAGGGGAGGGGTCTGGAGAAGGACTGTTGTGATAGAGGGGATTTGTATGAGCATTCAGGTGGGAGCTGCAAAGAGGGTGGGGTATGCTGGGAGGGTGTAGGAGGAAGGCGGAACTTGAGGAGGAGGAGGATGGATATCTGCAAATACTTTCAATGAAGAAGGAGTAGGAACAGAGGGATTAGGGGGTGGATGAGGGGGCGGAGTGTTCCCTTGGGTCATCTTTAGGGAAGTTTTGGAGGTCTTCAAGGGTTTCTGAAGGGGAGTTGGGTAAAGAGGACTGAGAAACAAAGGTTCTCTTATGAAGAGAAGAGGAGATAGATATCTGAGGAACAGAAGAAGAGGAAGTCCAACACCATGGTGGTTCATGTAGATGAAGCTGGACATCTACTGAACTGGAAAGAAGCTGAAATAATCCATGAAGGATTGAACAAACATAAAAGGAAGGTCATGGAAGCTGCATACATCACGATAGAGAAGAATATGTATTACGTGCGTAACGAGTATGAGGTCACATTCGTCAGGTGATTTATCAGCTCAGATGTAACATATATATGCTATGTATTTGTTCTTATGTAGGTATGTCTGACAAGGATATAACTGAAACTGGTCAAATACATCCCTTGTATTGTGAAGCTATCCATTCTCATTCATACCTTTTCTACATTCGTCAACAGGAATACAGTTCACGCAAAAGGTAACCTTGCCCACTTGTTTTTGGAGGCTCTGTTGAAACAGATGGGTATTCTCAGAATAGGGGGCCGTGGGGGGAATCTCAAGAATCAATCCCACTTGGCTGGGCCAGAGAGATTACTCAAAAGGTTTGCAGAGATAGGCCTGTAGAAGGATGAGGGCGAGAGGGGGATGGGGTGGTGTGGAGTCGAGTAGTTCTGTGGGGAGGAGGATGATAAGGATGAATAGCAGTAATAAGGGAACAGGGGGTAGACATTAAAGAAGAGGAAATGGAGAGAATGTTAGGAGAGAGGGAAAGGTGCTTTCTGGAGGTTGAGTAATAACCTGGGTGGATGTTTTGGAATGGATAGAGTTATTAGTAAGCTTGAGGAGGGGGTATTAGTATCAGTGGTCGGAGCCGTGGTCAAAGGAGGGGCAGGGGTTGGAAAACCATCAAAATCAAATTCAGATAGGCTATCTGATGAAGGGGCAAGCCTTAATGCCCCTATTAAGGGTAAAGAATCCTCATTATTGGCCATAGTGAGCCTGAATAAAATGGAGATAAGAAATGGTCTACCCCTCAGGGTCCCCATAAGGGTTAAGGGCTAGGCAATTAATCAAGGGAAGACCGTGCCCCTGGCTCCCAGAGGCCACTCATGACTGACACAAAGCCAGCCTTTCATCCTTTCAGCACGGCTCTCACACCTTAGGAATGGGATAGGAGAAGGGGATGAAGAAGATACGGAAGAGGAAAGGGGAGAAGAGAAGACCAAGCAAAATTAGTTGAGGCGAGGGCTGAGGCCCAAGGTAGGGGTGATCCCCTACACTGGGCTTCCCACGACAACAACGAGCAAGTTATTGGAATGGAAGCTAAAATAAAGCTATTACAAAATATACAGGAACTATGCCATTTCAATTTTTTGGCTGCAATAAGTGGTAATATCTGCTATAAACATCATAATTCCACAATGTGACATTCAGGTATATACTGTGATACCTACAAATCTTGTATTAAATATAATTATAAATGAATAATACTTTTTATGTGTGCTGGATTCAAATTGATTATGGATATTCTTCTATATAAATGATGTTGAATATGTATGAAATTCAGGATTTATAATTTCTTTGTGTCAGAAATATAGAATGTAAAAAGGAAGACTTGATGAAAAGGTTGTGAAAAGTGGTGGGATGACTTTCATTTTATTGTGTAGAATTGACACGTTTCTAGGACCCTTCCAGAATCTAATCACTTATCATGAAAACACAACGAGTATAAAAAAGAGGATAGCTGAACTTCATATGGGATCATTCTAAAAGATAACACACACTGCTAGCTCAAGAAACCTGTCTTATCATGGGTGTTGCAACATATTTGAACTGATTTAAAACACTGTGGACTGAAATTAACACTTAATATATGTACAAAGAGACAAGCCTAAACATAAATCTTTTGAAAGACTTAGAAAAAATAAGTAGACACTGGCTTCCTCTATACTATTAATTTTGTTGTTGTCTTGGTAATTCTAAGTAAGACAGCCGCGCTTATTTGTTATATTTTTTGTTCTCCTACCCCCTTCAATCTTGGGGGACCCATGGAGAATTGGGGGTTGAAGGGGGGGGGGAGCACACACACGGAAGAAATAGTGCAAGATGCACCGGAGTCAATGTTGCTGAAATCCCGACGAAATTTCTTAACCTAACCTAACCCGGACCCCCTTCCTTGGGGTATTTCCTTACCCTTTTCCTAGGGGTATTTCGCCGTACAAACAAAGCATACAACCTACCGGGAGCAGCCCCCCCCTTCCCTGGGGGTGTTTCCCTTTTGGAGGCAACTCCCGCACCACTTTTTCCTGGGGTATTTTGCTGTACTTTTCAGAAAGCTCTCGGTATTTCGAGACAGTTTGAGACATTGAGGTCTGTGGACTCTTAGAAAGGCAACCTTTGAATTTGAATTAAAGCTTAACCAGTGAGTTCCCAACAATCTTATAAACTTCGCCGAGATGTACGAACACTAGTCAATAATTCTATCATACTTTCCTCAGTATATGTAGTGCAGCTGCCTTAATTAGTATTGCCATTGTCTTTACTGAAAATTTTGGGTACATTATTTTTCTTGAACAGTTATGGAAAATGAAAAACATCTCCTATATCTATTTTCACAAAATATGAACCAAAACTGTGCAAGATAAACTCATATATTTCATTGCGGCAACTTTGTCCCAAATTTCAGATAACTTGTAAATCTAATGATGTATAAAAGAGCCTTTGATTACATAAGTTAAAGTTCATAAACACATCAAATTTTATTTTGAAAAAATCTGAACTGTTTGCACTGGGAACTGGTTGGCATAAATGAGGAAAGTGCAAAAATAAAATTTGTTCTTTTTAAGTTATTTTTAAGTTCCAAAAGTTGTATCCTTTCCTTTTTCGTAAATCCTATATATTTTCAATAGAAACCCAACTCTTTGGTAAAAATAAAAACACTAAAAATTTGTGGAGTAAACAAAATTCACAAAATAAAACTATAGCAGTGTATGCACTCTAAGGTGATTATGACAAAACTTAACATAATTTCAAGTGCTACATTTATGTATAGAAAGCAGTCAGGCTCAGTTCCTGTAATTCTGATTCGAGTACATTAATAAAATGTAGGTAATAACTTAAAATCGGCGACATATTGCCGGTCAAACAGACAAAACCACGACTCTATTTCATCATCATAACTGCAACAACCCGCCCCAAATAATCGAGAAAACAACCCTTCTTGCATATACCATAACATAATCTTCACATCACTCCCCACCCTACAAATAAGACTTCAGTATACCCTGAAAGTAAGAAAATAAAATAAAAATCCCTGCCGTTGTAATGGATGTCAACCTAAGATGGCCCAAGGTTACACCCGTGAGTAATATTACTACAATATCAAGCACTGCAGCACGTCCTTTCTTACCTCAAACAACTACTTCGCCGTACAAGATGTGTTTCCCAGACAAATGCTTAGAGTGAATGATGAAACAGAGTCATAAAACAAATCCAAAATACTGAGGAGGAAAACCAATAGCAGAAGCGATGAATTCCCGAGCTTTTTATATATACGTGTTGCATAGACAATGTGTCAATAGAGTACATTTCAGTGCAAATTAAACGTGCGGAGATATTATGGTTATATTGTAGCACAAATTATATCATCTATTTTAATCAACTGCTTTTTCTGTGAATAATATGTAGTCAGGTATTCGAAATCACTCGAAATAATAACACGTGTCCTAATCTACACAACACGGAGCTATTCCTCCTCAAGATTACCAACAACTCTGTCCATTCCGAAACGTCCACCAAGGTTATTACTCAACCTCCGGAAAGCACCTTTCCCTCTCTCCTAACATTCTCTCCATTTCCTACTGTACGGTCCTCTCCTTCAATGGTCTACCCCCTGTTCCCTTATTACTGCTATTCATCCTTATCGTCCTCCTCCCCACAGAAATACTCCCCTCAACACCACCCAGTCCCCCTCTCGCCCTCATCCTTCTACAGGCCTATCTCTGCAATCCTTTTGAGTACTTCTCTTTGCCCAGCCAAGTGGGATCGATTCTTGAGATTCCCCCCACGGCCCCCTATTCTGAGAATACCCATCTGTTTCAACAGAGCCCCAAAAAACAAGTGGGCAAGGTTACCTTTTGCGTGAACTGTATTCCTGTTGACAAATGTAGAAAAGGTATGAATGAGAATGGATAGCTTCACAATACAAGGGATGTATTTGACCAGTTTCAGTTATATCCTTGTCAGACATACCTACATAAGAACAAATACATAGCATATATATGTTACATCTGAGCTGATAAATCACCTGACGAATGTGACCTCATACTCGTTACGCACGTAATACATATTCTTCTCTATCGTGATGTATGCAGCTTCCATGACCTTCCTTTTATGTTTGTTCAATCCTTCATGGATTATTTCAGCTTCTTTCCAGTTCAGTAGATGTCCAGCTTCATCTACATGAACCACCATGGTGTTGGACTTCCTCTTCTTCTGTTCCTCAGATATCTATCTCCTCTTCTCTTCATAAGAGAACCTTTGTTCTCAGTCCTCTTACCAACTCCCCTTCAGAACCCCTTGAAGACCTCCAAAACTTCCCTAAAGATGACCCAAGGGAACACTCCGCCCCCATCCCCCCTAATCCCTCTGTTCTACTCCTTCTTCATTGAAAGTATTTGCAGATATCCATCCTCCTCCTCCTCAAGTTCCGCCTTCCTCCTACACCCTCCCAGATATACCCACCCTCTTTGCAGCTCCCACCTGAATGCTCATACAAGAATCCCCTCTATCACACAGTCCTTCTCAGACCCCTCCCCTCCAGACATTCTTCCAGATACTTCACCACCTTCCCCAGTCTCCCTTTCTCATCCCCCGGATTCTTCTCTTCCTACTTCTCCAACAGCCACCTCTGTTTTCCTCGAACAATGTCCCTATTCCTTCCCCAGTCACAGATACAGTGCAATTCATTCAATTGCTTACCCCTTAACCTTTCCATTTTACTAATCCTGCTCTACCATTTACTTCCCTCTTTTTCCATTTTGCTGTTATACTTTCTTATAACACTCTAATCTGTGACATCCCCTCTCTCCCCGGATTCTTCTCCTAGTCTTCCAACAGCCATCTCTTTTCCTTGAACATTGTTCCTGTACCTTCCCCAGTGACAGATACACTGTAATTCACTCAATCACCCTAGCCCCTTAACCCCCCCTTTTCTACTAATCTCTGCTCTAGTTCACTTACACCCCTTTTTTCCCTTTTCACTACCATACTATTCTATAACGCTCTTTAATCTTTGACATCTAACGCATTTCCTTTAGCTCCTCTTTATTTCCGACACAATACTTTACCATAGTGCTATATGATCTTTGATGTCTAGTACATTTATTTGTTTCAAACATTAAACATTAAACATATATTTTAGTTTGCCTTTATACATGAAGAAGGAAACTTTGATGATGGAACATTTCAAGGTAGATTTAAGGGTTTCTACTTGGGTTAATACATTTTACGTTTTGTTCAACCCTTTTCCTATTAACCCCAGAAATTATGGAAACACCTCGGGATACTAAAATTTGAAACTGTTTGGGTTGTTTTAGATAACCAGATCTAGACAAATTTTGATAGAAAACATGAATATGTAAAAGTTTTTTCTTTTCAAAACATATCCATCATTCCACAATATGGCAGAAAATAATTGAGTGAATTATGTGTCTCTCTATGGCACTCTAGCAGCAAGGTTCTCTCTCTCTCTCTCTCTCTCTCTCTCTCTCTCTCTCTCTCTCTCTCTCTCTCTCTCTCTCTCTCTCTCTCTCTCTCTCTCTCTCTCTCTTTTCTCTCCACTCTCTCTGTTTTTATCCTTGTTTGGAAGAAAAAGGAAAAAAAAAAAGATATATATGTATATTGGGATTTAGATTGGTGCCTGGTGACAAAATTATCATATGCATGCACATTCCGTCTTTCATATGCCTATATGAACATGCCTTCACATATATACGCTCACAATTACAAAACAAATTTACTCCTTTTCAGTATACAGATCTGAAAAGGTTTAGAAACTGTACTTTTGTCTGACAGTCCCAAAAAGTGCTCAGAGGTAATGTTCAAGACCGTGGGTATGAATTCTTTAAGACAGCCTAAGTTTCATCATATTTCGTTTTATATTTCAACTTCAAGAGCAAATGAAAATATAAATTTGCTCCTGCATATTAGTATACCACATTATCCATGTCCTTATACCATTGCAGCAAGAATAGAATACACAAGAACTCCAGAAATTGGCATGAAAGGTTTAACAGTGTTATTACCAAGGTCACATTTAACCCACTAACGACAGGTGTCCCACATATGAGACACCTGAAAAAAATAAACATTGCCGGTCATCCCACCAGTGTGACGCTGTATCGGGGCTCACGCTTCGACGCAGCAGCATGCCGCAGAGGGCATGCGGGCAGAGTAGCCACCCGGAATCTTTATTTTTCAGCTTCAAAATATACCGCCGTTAATAGGTTAACCATCTAAATAATCTGATGATGTATCCATTGTGAGAGGGTAAATTTATCGTTCCTTATTTTCTTTACAGGAACTACATGCCCAAAAAAAGAAAAGGAAAGTGTGCTTGTGAGTAGCCTGAAAAGCCACAGCCACTAAAATGGCAACAGCTGGGCCTGGAAGTGACAGCCGAAGTGAGAGCAGCAACAATGCCTCAGGTGGATCAGACAAAGGTGGAGAAGATTCGACAGACAATTCCAATTTTGAGTGTAACATTTGCCTCGACACAGCAAAGGATGCCGTAATTTCCATGTGTGGCCATCTCTTCTGGTAAGTATGGGTTTCTTGTCTTGGGAATTGTCTTTCATAAGATTTATAGTTATTATTATTAGTATTATTATCATTATTATTATCATTATCATTATATATTATATTATATATAATTAGTATTATGATTATTGATTACACTTCATTCAATATTAGGAAAGAGAAAAATGGCATCTCACCCTAAGCTCTGGAGTCCTCCAGTTTGCCAAGTTGCTTTTGAGAAAAAAAAATTATAATAATGTGGTGCTGAAGGCAGCAAATTTCAATAAGAGATAATACAAATATTGTACATAAATTTTTAGAACCCAAACTTCTGTAAGCACAAACAATAACAGATAGATGATGGGGGGGATCAGATATTTAGGGTCGTTGTGAGTTGCCTGTTTTTTCTTTTACCTGAATTGGACATACTATGGAACTGGAGAGACTATTACTTCTTTCTGACGGCTGTGAAGAAGTGCACTTTGTAAATATAATTTTTATGATATGGACTAAATATTATCCCTGCCTCAGAATTAATTTCTTGAAAGAAACGATCATTGATGTGCTCATGATTACTCTTTTGTTTTTATTATTAAATGATGCATATATTATTAGATTGTGATAGAACATCAAATTAAAACATGGTTAGGCATAATTTTAGACTTTTAGAATTGGAATACATCGTCACTTTCATGTATTATTGGATATCAACTTCATCTGAATAATTTCTCCTCAATATATGTTAATTATTTGATCAATTTGTATTATGAATGTACAGGTAGAGATATCTAAATTTGCTTGTGAAGGTAACATGTTTTTAAACCCATTTTTGGGGATAGCATGACATTATGCCATGGCTACCATGATTTCAGCTTATTAGTTTTATTAAACATGAATGGCTCCTCAAGTACTCAGTCACCAAGTCAATAGGTAGTCCAGCTTATCACCCTTTGATCATGTACCCATGTACAAAGGGTTAAAATCATAATTAGAACTAAAGATGGAGTGTCTCAGCGATCAAATGTAAATAAAAGGAATTAAAAAGCAAACACAGTTTAAGTTAAAGACATAATTCAAGTTCATTTCCTCATTCCAGCTGGCCATGTTTACACCAGTGGCTTGAGACCAGGCCAAACAACCAAACATGTCCAGTTTGCAAGGCGGCAATCTCGCGTGAGAAGGTAATCCCATTGTATGGCAGAGGCTCTGGAAACCAACAGGACCCCAGGTAAAGAATACCACCTATAGTTCCTTCCCCCACATTCTCTCTCTCTCTCTCTCTCTCTCTCTCTCTCTCTCTCTTCTCTCCTCTCTCTCTCCTCTCTCTCCTCTCTCTCTCTCTCTCTCTCTCTCTCTCTCTCTCCTCTCTCTCTCTCTCTCCCCTCCCTCTCTCTCTTCTCTCTCTCCCTCTCTCCCTCTCTCCCTCCTCCCTCCTCCCTCCCTCTCCCTCCCTCCCCCTCTCCCTCTCTCCCTCTCTCCCTCTCTCTCCTCTCTCCCTCTCTCCCTCTCTCTCTTCCCCTGCCCACCCCTATCCCATCCCTCTCCCTTTCCCTCCTTCTTCTTATACCTCTGCTTTTTAAGCCTATCTTCCTTATTACTCTCACATTTTGCCCGCTTTCTCATTCTCTCCATATCTTACAGAGACAAGCTTCCCCCTCGCCCCCCTGGTCAGAGAACAGAACCAGAGCCACAGAATGGGTACATGCCAGGCTTTGTTTTGGAGGAGAAATTCCAGTTCCACTTTGGATCGGCGCTTTTCCCTTCGGCATTTTCACGACGTTCACCAACTGGGGCGGAGGTGCAGTTCCACCAGGTGAGTAGGACGGATTATTGGTTTGTTGATCAAATCCACTTTGAATTTGTTTGTGTAAGTTGTTTCATTTCAAGTGTAAGGGAAGTGAAGCATGGTAAGTTCATGTAGGTGTAGGTGTACATAATTATTCTGCCAATATATATATATATTTTCTCCACTTTAGCTAACTCTCCTGTATTTTGCACTCTTTTTCTCTGGTATAGATAAAAATTACTCTTTTGCTTATGGTTAAGATGATTATTCTTCCCATTCAGAAAGACAGCAGATTATAAATGAATAAAAGACTAGATATGTAGATGAAAACAAATTGAATCACTGAATATGATTGTAGCCCCTTTAATATAGACTGGAACAATGATGAATGTGTGTGAGAGAGAAAGAGAAAGAAAGAAAGAGAGAAAGAAGAAAATAAGATTCCAGTGTGCCATTGACAAGATGGTCACGTGAAAAATAGAAATATTGGAAAATAAAAAGCAACTATTCAATTTATTTTCTGGTCATTTTCCTTGTGTACAATACAAATTTGTGTAGTATGTGTTATGTAGACTGATTTAAATTCTGGAGGTCCTTTTGAGGGACTACTTTTCTTTTTGCTGTCATCAAAATATAATAAAGATGTGTACTTTCAGCATAAGTAGGCCACAGAAGCCCTCAGATACAAAAACATGAATTTCTTACCATAAGTCTAAGTTACTACTGCGTTCATCGAAAGTCATCTCTACAAAGTGTTCTGAGTAATGGGCTAGTATTTCAGTTCAAACAATTGTGTTATTCTAAAAAAATCATAACCTAATGTAATTCTAAAGTAAATTACATAACAACCAAACCCAAGTCGGTTCCAGCTGCGTAAAAATCCCATCGGAGGTTAGTTGGACCACTCTAACACCTCACTGATACTGACATGATGCACACTTTGTGATTTAGCCAGAATTGTTATTGTGATTTTTATTCCTGAAATATATGTTTCCATAAGTCAACATGCAATGTAATGAGTCAGTTTACGAAGAGGTTCATCTTCGTTGTAATTGTCACTAGAGCCATCAGAGTTTTAGTATGGCTTTCTGTTTTCTTCCTTCTACATATTTGATATAGTAAATTTGATAATCATTTTGCAACCTTCAACTTGTTAAAGTAATAATAAACCAACAACTACCGTGGATTTTGAATTTCTCTTCTAATAAGTGAAGTTCTAGAGCTACTATTCTACTTTTCTTTAGTTCTTTCCTTGCTTAACTAATACAGTAGAGATCCTCCTGTGTCCTTTATGATGATATAATTGCTCCCTCCCAAAGGAATATTACTGACTCATTGCATTGCTGTTGCAGAAATGGAGAGGGATTTGCCGCAGCTTGTACGATATATTTTGCTCATTATGGCCTTCTTCTTCTATTGGAATCTCTTCTTTGGCTGACCAGGAAGGTATTTTACAGAGCCCATTTATTTTGTCTGTCTTTGGACTTTCTCTCAGTATCCTCATGATAGAGATTATTCTGTCCAAGAAGCCATCTTTTTGTGGCTTCATGCCTTGTTGCTGTTTATGCCATGTTGTTAGTGCTGCTGTTACAACTTTTCATACTGTGTTTTTGTAGAGTTGGATCAATTAGAGGTTGAGTGAGTCATGTTGTTGCCATGCAAGCTTTTTTCTGCCATTTGTCCTGCTTAGTGTCATCATTGATGTTTATTGCAGTATTATTACATGGATAATTCCAGCTAAAGTTGATTGCCAAGTCTTTTTGTTCAAGAATGATATAGTTTTGTTTTTTTGTTTAGTAACTCATTAGATCCGGGTGCTTCACTGCCCATTTTGTCAAAAATTCAGCCATTAGGCCTACTTGATTGTGTGCAGTGTCAAGACTCCTTGCCTCACCTTTGCAATATTATTGTCTCTTTTCCTGCATAAACATTTTTTGCTTCTCTACCATATTCGAAGATGTATATTTGATGTTTGACTTGATGTATCAAAGTGGTTATAGACTGTTTTCCTTGCACATATTTCACATAATCTCACGGATTAGTCTATAACTCTGTGCAGTAAATATAACAAAAAGTAACATTTTGTTACTTACATTATTGTAATATTCAATATCTGTAATACAGTCCTCCATGGAGCAGGCACTCTTCTACTCGTGGCTCATGGATGATACATTCCACTCATGTATTATTGGAAATAGTATAGGAGCCCATATATATATATATATATATATATATATATATATATATATATATATATATATATATATATATATATATATATATATATATATATATATTATATTATATTATTTATTTATTTATTTATTTATTTATTTATTATTATTATTCATTTATTTATTTATTCATTTTATTTATTTATTTATTTTATTTTTACATATGTAGATATACATATGAATATATTTATTTATATGTTTATATATTAAAGATGTATCAAAGATTATACATCCTGTTTAATAACATAAAATTTTTGCCTTATGTCTACTTTTTGCTTAATGTGAGAATGATTCTTCCATGAATTTGCAGTATCTACAGGGATCCAATTTTTTCTTACTGTTGTAATTTAATGATAACTGTGAAACTTGATCAAAGAAAGCTAAGTTATGATGTATTTAAAAGTGAAAATCTACAGGAAAATTCTAGGAATCTTGAGAATAATACAAAAATGACAGTGATGGCAATGGTTGCAAGATACCACAGAATATACTCTTTTTCCTGTCTCCATTCCCTTATTCAGAAAAAGTATAGTTACGCTATGCCAAGCATCCTCCCTG